TCCGGTCCGATTTACTGCATACACGTCATCATCATGCTCCAATGGCTTTAAGCTTGTACTACAATCGATTTTCTAATAGAGTTAAATTTCTGAACATGTCCCAGCTAAAATTCATATCAACAGGTCCTTTTCAGGACAAAGATTTTCATACTAAATAGTATAAACAGAGAGAACCCGGCTCAAATTCCTATTCCTACACAAAACACAAGCTCCTGCTGCAGTTAACAAATGACATTTAACACGTAGGCTTACGTCAACACGTAGTCCTACGTCACCATTGCATACAACCCCATAGGCTGTCCCTTGTGGTTTTTTTCATGCTTGAAAAGATCTTAGCTTTCACTGGTGAAAATTTCAGAGTGGTGTCACTTACCGTTATTTGAGATATGACTGACATTTTTGCCTTCTTCTTTGATTTCTTGAAATCAATCCATTTCATTCCTTATTCACTAATGTCAATGAAGTTATCCAGTACCATGCCATCCAGCATGTATCATAAAGCAACTATTGCATACTTCACGGCGTAAATCGAGCAATTTTGCTAAATAAGCATTCAAATCAAAACTATCAACCATGTATGGTGGGGAAATCATGTGAAGTAGGGTAGAGCGCTACTTCGTCGTAATCGCCTATTTCCGTTCTATCAATCAGAAAAGATCAATAATATCAATTAGGCTTGCAATTGCTCATTACAGCTAAAATGCTATTTTTCGTTATTATGAAACAATGGGATACTATAATGATAATTTTTATTTGTAAGATGCAAGAAGAGGTGGTAAAAATTGACAATGACACATAAAATTTGTCAATTTTGCTTTCAGAAGATCACAACTAGCGATTTTATGATCGCTGATTGCTCGCTCATCGCGTTGCTCATCGTTACAGCTAATCGCTTACCTTCTGAAAGCAAAATTGACAAATTTTATATGTCATATACAATCTTTACCACCCTTCTTGCAACCTACAAATAAAAATTATTCATAATAACGAAAAATAGCATTTTAGCTGTAATGAGCAATTGCAAGCCTGATATCAATAATTTCACCGAGCACAAATCAATAAAAGGCTTGTTCCGATGCGTTAGTTCATTACACAGCAAAAAATAAATTTTAATATAACATCCAAGAGGATGCACTTCAATCATGTCGAAAATCTCTTGTAATTTTTATGGCCACAAAAATAAACAAATGCAGTAAAAGCATAATTTTGTCCTTTTTGGCAAGTAATATTATTCAGAAAAGAGAGGTAAAGCGCGGTTTGTGCTTATTAGGATGGAAATTAGATCAAAAACCCTATGTAGAAGGATGAAATTTTCTCTCGAAATAGATTTTGGTCCGTTCTCCCTGTGGGTACTTGTTCCGGTAGCATTTCTAAATTTAGCCAATTTAGCTAAAACTGATTATTAATCTTGAAATTGATCGACAGAACCCTTGCTGGTCATTTGCAAGGTTTTTTAGGCATTGCTAGGAATCACCCAAGTGGGTGGAAAGGGGGGGGGGGGGGTCCAGTACCATGACTGAAATACCAAATTCGAGTCGATTTAAAACCAAAATACGGCACTAATTAAATTAGCCCTTTAACGGTCACGTTAAACGCTTAGAAAAAATACGCGCTAATTAAATTAGCCCGATGACGATCACGACAAATCACTAAATACGACCGCACACTATATCAATCGATCTCAAGTACAATTTTACTGGGGTTTTTAATAGACTTTTCTTTAATCAATTTCCAATAACTGAAATCGGTTATCGGGAAATTCCATTATGGGGTAACTGTACATCAGCCCCAAGGGGGAGTTTGGTAAAGAGAGATGAAAAAACCGATTTGTACCTTCCATAAAAGTTGTCCTAGCTCGCTGTTCTAACATCTATATGCAATCTTCACACTGCAGTACTCTAACAGAACTATCAATTCTATGCTTTCATCTACTCCATCTATCGTATAAAAATTACCACTACAGTCTGTTATTTGAAATTAGCATCTTCAACTAAGATTCACGTGATAATGACTATTGACTGACTTTCGCAGTTCTCATGGTCGTGGTCGGAGATGACAAAATCACGAACTTTATTGAATTGTGTATAAACTATTGACTTAATCAAAAAAGTGTCTTCAAATAAGTATCGCCCACAACCCAAAAAAAAAAACATCATGGCCTACTATGAAAAAAATAAAAAAAAACCTAACTTTTCCCCCTAAATAGATAGAAGGATACTTTCTTGGGCAAAGTTGTAGAATTTCTCCAAATATTAAACGATTGAAATTACAAATTTCCTGTGCCTAATAGTTTTGGAGATATAGACCGTTTTCTATGGTTACCCCTTTAAATTTGGTTTTTAATTATTAACTTTTTATATAACAATTTTTCAAACAAATAAAATTCTTGAAAAATATGAACAAAGCAAAACTATACGTTTTTGCTCAAGACAGTATGTGGATTAGACTGATGCAAAATTTGAAATTTTAGCTCCACAGTGCTCAAACGGTTCCAAATTGGGTCCTGCTTAGCCTCCCAAAATTTGAACTACTTTAGTAAGAAACTGACTTGGCACAAACCATTTCAAGTTTATATGGGAATTACTATGAGAATGAAATTTATACAATCCTTTTTAACTTCATTTCACCCTAATTTTGACAGCATATAGCGGAGAAGTTGGCAAACCGGGACACAATATCAACTTCTCTTTATAAAGTTTAGACTTTGTATTACAAAGTAATGAAGGTTTGGTTAGCGCCAATTAATCATTTTGTTCGACCATTTTCCACAGAGGTGGCGCTCTTCCGCTGGTAGGAAGTGATGAAAATCCCCATATAGAAATTGAGAGAAGTGGGAATAATTCGCTTTCGGTGCATATTCAGGTCAAACAAAGTGTACGAAAACCTAAAAAAAAAAATCAGGGACTTTGTCGTTCAGTTTTCCCTTTTCCGATGTTAAACAAGCTACAATTAAATAAAAATGATTTTTCCCCATACAGTTTTACCTGCTTTACTACTAGTTCCCAGAGAGCCAAAAAAAAAATCAAATTTGAGAGAGAAAATTTGCTCTTACGACCTGAATCTCTCTACATGCCATGTATTTTGTTGACACTCGATTTGTGATTTCCCTTTCACAGATTACAAGATAGAGTACCTGACACTACAAAACATGTGTGGTACCTCTGTATATGCATTTGCTTTAACATTTGAAGTCCCTCCTTTTTTACATATTCTGCGCAAGATACTTTACGTCTCGCCCCATACATAAAAATCGGCGGGAAATTCTGTGAGGGGTGAGCTATTTTATTTGCAGACTGTGTAAAAAATGAGGGAATTCGAATAATAATCTAAATGCATATATAGAGGTACCAGACATGTTTTGCTCTGCAATGTCCTCTGTGAACAATTATAGGAAAACCGATTGTGTGTAGTTTCTGATAGATGTCACCGCAAACAACAGCAGTGACATCTGATGGAACATGAATGCAGAAGCTTGACAAAATGAAAAATTCATAAATGAGTGAATAGGGTCACGATGAATGTTTGCGTGTTTTGCCATTTTCTATTAAAAAACGAGCCAAACTGGACTAAATACTACTCAATTCCACAAACCACATTTAAAACATTGTTTTTGTATTGAAAATGGCAAAACATGCAACCAATCAACGTGACCCTATTTTCTCATTTATGAATTGGCGTTAATCAAACCTTCACTACTTTATAGCAGTTGATATTGTGTCCCGGTTTGCCACATTCTCCCCATAGCGGAAAATAGAGTTTAAAAGTGCTATAAATTTGCAAGGAATTCACATAACCACATACTGTCTCTAACAAAAACATGTAATATATCTGTGTTTACATTTGACTAGAACATTATTAGCTTGAAAAATCATTATTTAAAAAAATATTAATTTAAAACTAAATTTGAAGGGGAAATCATACACAGCTAAAAAAAACTAGTGTAAATTTCCGTTACTATGATGCACATAAATGGAGCGTCATATATCATACAAGTTTAAATTATAGATCGTGTAAATTTATGAGACATGTCATGCAATATTCCATATATTGTATGCAACTGTCCACTTTTGTTTGCAACATTTCTTGAAAGCTGCTAGTTTACGTGAAAAGGAAGTTTACATGTAGGAATGTTTGCATGCATGGATGTTAACATCGCCAGTAAAATTCAGAATTTTTTGGTGTGTAGAAAACGGTTCATATCTTCAAAGCTATTAGGCACAGAAATTTTGCATTTACGAAAAAGTTTCATCTTTTGAGATGAAAGTATCCTTCTGTCTATTAAGGAAAAAAATATTTGGTTGTTATTTTTTTTAAATTTTAGGATTGTGGGCGATACCTATGTGAACAATTTCTCCAAAGACACTTTTTTGATCAAGTCAATAGTTCATACACATTTCATGTTTTTGCCATCTCCGACCACTGCGAGGCATCCAAACGCGGTGAAATCAAGCTGTCAGGACTCATACTGAAACAAGACAGTACTTCAAATCTTTCCGTTACTATACTTCTTACAATAAAAGATCATTTCACTATTTTATTTGTTTAACTGTGCACATGCATGAAAAGTATTTATTTTTTATGAAATGGTTATAACTATCTTTCATTTGCAGAGCAGCTCAAAACTCGCAAAGCAGTGCTTCATAGGTAAACATTTGTGTGGTAAAGAGATTTTTTGCGGCCCACCACTTCAGATCTAGTTGGGAAGCATCGATAAAGTACGTCATGAAGCAATACATAAGGTATAGGAAAAACGTGCTGATTCTTCCTAAATTTTGCGTGACGCACATAATGCATGACGCACATAACGCATGCTCTCTTAGTTAAATATGTACTCAACAGCATCTCACTCGTCTTCGTCAGGTTTCAGATATTCATTGATCGCAAGGCTATTTGACTATCGTCATTACCGCCATTCCGATCCATCTCTTTCTGGATTAACTATTCCAAATTGCCGAATCATTAGATATAACATTGAACGTTTTGCTGATTCCTCCACAAACCTGTTTCAAGGCAGCCATCGTTATCTTCCACTCCGGCTCCGTATCCATGATGACACTCTATGTTTGTTTGAAATATCACGTTTTGAATGCGAATTCTTCTTGCGCAATGAATAGCTTTACGCGAATCACTTCTGCACAGCATTAACCTGCAGCATGGCAAATTTCATGTCGGTCAAATCCAAACTTTCCACTCGTTCCACTTGTTATGCTACTCGTTTTCGGTTTCTCACTTTCCCAATTTATTCAGTGATGATCAAAATTCACCTCTTCGATCAATCTAGCCTAAGCTTGTCAAAACGCTAAAACCTTAGATCATGAAGCACAATTAAGTCGTTGGTAAATCCATTAAAGGTCGAAAAGCAGCCACCACACACCGGCATCAGATGAATTCCTGGTGTTTTGAATCACATGTTCGGCTACGTAGAAACCTGGTAATTTTCGCCTCTGTTTTGATCAACTCCTTTCACCGGTCTTCGTAATCACTTTCCTTCTTTGGTTATGAAGTGCTTTTGTGTTATCGTGCTCAATCCACACACGTGCCTAAAACGAGTTTTCGAGTGCTAAAAGCGCGGTACTTAAATTTTTAGCACGTTGTTAAGCCGTATAGCCGCGAATATCTGCTAAGCGTTTTGTTTTCGGCGGTAACTTTACTCTAGGAAGGCACTGTAGGCTGTAAGACGCGTTATAACTCGCCGAATGTCGGATCGCGACTGTGGGGCTTTTCTATGGGATCAGCAAGCACCGCGATGTTGCTCATTTCCACTCTAGATTCCGCTCGTACAAAATGCGAAAGCGGCGTGTGTGTATAATTGAATCTCATCGCATCATACTCCAATTTCCGTTGAGATGCATCAACTGGATGGAACAGCCGTAGGTATCGTTCAATAAAGTGCCCAGAGCTTTTTGTGTGGGGGAGATCTTGTTTCATGTTGCATTAGATTAATTTGCTTTTAAATCGAAGCATGCTATGTACCAACCGGTTCACAGTGAAACACTAATATGAGCCAACAGAAACAGAAGAAAATAATAGAACTGGAGAATCAGAAAATTACATCACTAGCCCCTATAGTTCTACCAATAAACCATGCTGGAGGCGGTGGGTTCGATTCCCGGTCTGTTCTTGGATTTTTTTTGGCTTTGTGCATGGCCCATATATAAAAAAAACATATGGCTGATTGTTCATGCAGGACGGGAGAAGGCTCTCCATAATGAGTAACACCTTAAATTTATCACTTTTAATTTGAAATAATCTTGATTTCATCGAATGACGTTAGCGTATAAAGTTCGTAGACATAGTTTGAATTTTTACCCTTTTTAACAAACAAAAGCACACAAACCGCTGGGAAAACACACTTTCGATCCAACACAGATAAAAATATTGCAATTTTCAACTCCTATCTGGAGCAAGTTTTTGAACATAAAATTACACGTTTGTCAAACTGAGATTCAGTGAATAAAAGCTGAAATTCACGCGTTCATTTAAAATTTATATCTTTTTTCGTTTGAAAATAAACAAATATTTATTTATTTACTATCGTCAATCAGATGTAGACCCTTTTGAACAAGTTACAAGTCATCTGTCAAAATTACGAATTGGATTAAAGTACTGCTTTAATCTGGTTTTTATCATAAAGTAAAATCAATAGTTTTTACTATGTTTATTGTAAGCAGTCATTATTTGTTTTAGTCGACCAAATAAGGCATAATTTATAGACAAGGTAAGAGAATACAAATGAGCTATTACAATTTCAACCGTTGAAGAATAAAGATCTTTCATCTTGTGTGAAGTAAAAGTGTAAGTTTTTGTTAATCCTTGGTGAACTTGAGTGCCTATTTTCCGTTCTGTTTTTGGTGACTAGTGTCTGTGTGTGATCCTGAATGCTCCGCCGGACACCAAAATCCTGCCCTAAAATATTTGCTATAATATAAATACAAATGATTGTAAAATGCAGTGTAAATGAATGGAATTCCATTTACATTAAAGCAAAATTAAAGAATAAATAAATGTTATTGCTGTATTTTGTAATTTACGCTCGGAAATACATCAATGCACCACACGTAAATTTAGAAATATTTAGTTCTGAAGGCTGGAGGGCCGAGTGTCTTATACCAAGCGACTCAGCTCGATGAGATAGGAAAATCGGAAAATTGGTTGGACATATTTAGTGCTCGTGACCAAATTTAGTCAGAACCCCTCATGCGACGATGCAACACCCCAAATTAAATGAGGATTCAAAAACACGTAGGTATAACAAAAGGGTGACCAGCGAAAAAAAAAAGGTAATTCAACGGGAAAACCGGGTAGAAATAAATGATCCTCAATATAGGGTCCAGTGATGGGAAAATATCAAAAAAACAAATCTCACCAACGCCCAAGATCACGCTTGATTTTCGTAGACAAAAATCAACAAGCAAACAACTGCGGTTGATTTTGCAAGCTGTGATATCGCAGCTCGGAATATCAAGCTAACAAAACTCACCAACTGCAAATCTCAACAAACTGTGGTGAGATTGAGTTTCATGATTTTTGCTTTACAACCGAATGTAACCGAAACTTCCATAACGGCTGGCAGCAGTCTCTTCGTGTCTGCCATCGGTGAAGAGTAAAAAGAGATAGCAAACTATACTTTCTCTCAGCTTGATTTCCGACTTTGTGAATAGTCTCGCAATATCAAAGGAGCTTGTAAAATCAATATCAAGCATGATATATTGTTCCAATATCACGCGTGATATTGCGAGTGCATGAGAGCGAGAAAATATCAATTGATTGCTGATTTTGCCAACACTGATAGGGTCACTTAAATTATAAGTTTTTCTTAAAATAAATGCACAAATTTATAACAAACTAGCTGAGTGTGCCCGGTCTTGCTCGGGATTCAATATTAGCTTGAGTTTATGCGCCGATTTAAAAAAAAAACATGCTATATTGTACGTACCCTCCCCCCCCTATTATCCAAGGGGCTACCCCCTACGATTATCTCCTTATACCCCCACACTCGCCCCCACATGCCTAATTTGGTTCCATTTGCTTGATTAGTTCTCGAGTTATGCAGAAATTTCTGTTTCATTTGTATGGGAGCCCCCCCTTACAGAAGGGGAAGGGGTCTCGAACCATCATAAGAACCTTCCACGGCCCCAAAAACCCCTGTATACAAATTTTCACGCCAATTGGTTCAGTAGTTTCCGAGTCTATAAGGGTCAGACAGACAGACAGACAGACAGACAGAAATTCATTTTTATATATATAGATAGATAGATGATGATGAGTTTTTTGCACCAACTTATTATGAAGTTTGTAAAAATTAAACTTCTTAAATCACCATGAAGATTTCAACTTTATTAACTTAGGACTTTGACCTAATTTTGGGCCTACTAAGCACAACCAGCACTTTGCCTCGACCGGGTTCTTGAACATAATGGAAAGTTTCTACTACAGATATCTTCCAAAATTATTTACCTTTCCATTTCCAGATTTGATAAAGATTCAAAAATTGTCGATATATTGTTAGAAATCTAGTACCCTTTCATACATATCGATACATTCTAGTGGTCTCCCAAGTAACAATTTGGGTTTTATGAGGGTTCTGTAGACCATGATTTAGACTTGTAAAGTGCTTTAAAACCTCAATAAAACTTGAAATGTTACTTGGGCTGCCACCCATTGGAGCACGGACACTAAGGCCGACAGCTGTAGGTTCTCCTCTCTGTTCGGCTTGATCAAGCTCAATAACCTCTGAGTTGGATGAATGTATAGGCAAAATCACTTCTGCACATCCACGGGATTAAAATTGCACAATTGGTCAAAAACGAACCACCCAACAGGAGGATCCCTCAATGAGTGGGGAGAAGAGCCCACCTTTTATCGACGAAATGTTAGCAACTGGGAGTTGGCATTCCTACTTTTCCCATCCAAATCGCTTCAATCGGGTGCTCTGATGGTCCCTCCCAATCCTTAGTATTTTGTTGCATGATTAGTAGAGACATGAATATAAGAAAATATAAAATAACCATATATATGACCTTCAATCCAACGACGTCAGAATAAACGCCCAATAGCATTAGTAAAAAATAGTCCTACCTTATTCTACCCTCTCCTCTATGCACCTGCTCGTCTGTTTACCGCTTGTATGTGCTAGTGTCTTTGTTTCGAGTATTTTTTAGATTATCGTAGTTTTTTGTTTAGCTCCGTTAAAGTGTAGAAAAATAATGGCAGGTAATGTTCGTGAGTGTTGTGCAGTTTTCTCCGTTGTCAAACTCGCTAGTAGGCAGAGGTAGGACAGCTTACTGTAGAACGCAACAATCCACCCCACCGAAAATTGCAAAAACCCGCCACCAGATGGACAAACAACTGCCTGTTGGGAGGCCATGGGGGGTGGCGATAGAGATGACCATTTTGAAACGGGTAACGGGCACGACAAACTGGCGATGAACGACGAATGGGCCGGGCTACTGGCCGACAGCCTGGAGCAGTGACCCAATGACTCACTCAACTTTTAAATTAATAATCACTGATCGTAAGACCACCGCGAAAACGGTTGATCAAGCAAGCAACCCGAGCAAAGTCCAGCATCAAAATGACAGCAAATTGAAATCAAGTTTTGATATCAACATCAAACTGAAATCATAATTTGATTTCAGTTTACACATTGACAAATTTGATACCAAATTTTGTTTTCATTTTGCTGTTCATTTGTTCTTTAAAAATATGTTGTTACGGGTTTGTTTTCATTGCCTTAGCATAACATCAAATTGAATACTTGTTTTGTTATCAACAGGAAAAATGGATAGCAAATTTGGTTTTCAGTTTGCTCTCACTGATAGCAGAAATAGTTTTCGATGTGATGTCACAGGAAGATATGTTTGCTCTCAATTTTGATATTTTAACCGTTAAAACGACCAAAACGACAACAACCTGAGTAATCATTATCAGCGAAATCACAACATCAAATTTAGATTTCAATTTGATCTCAGACTTTGCTCGGGAAGCTAGCCAAATTTACGCAAGTAATAGTGGAAACAGTGGAAAAGTCAGAGGAGAGATTCAAGGACAGCAGGTAAACCGCAATAATTACCATTTTGGTTCAAATGACCCTAATGCCCATTGTATTTAACCATTAGGACCCCGCTGTATTTAGTACAGATCACCTGTACGCAGTGAAGTTCCGGTAGACGTACAGCAAGGTTACACCGTCTCTGCCTGCCGGCCCGAGTTCGTCACCAACTCATAGGCCCAGGAAGTGTAACCTGGTGCTCGTCATCGCCACCCCGTACATAAAGCGCGCGAAGGAGGTACACGACGAGGAAGTGGAGAGGAAGCAGACGTCGACCGAGAACAAGTGGTCGACGATCAAAGACACGTGGTGGAGGTGTTCCGAGGGGCCCCGACGAAGAAAACAGGTCAGATAGATTGTAAGAAAGTGGGAGAATAAGGGAGTAAAGATGGAGAATAAAAGTTGTCAGGAAAGTGAAATAAATCTTTAATCTTGAGTAGTGAAGTGCTTGTGTCACGTGAGATCATTCCCTGTCCCGCGTAATTGGAATCGGTAAGCGTGCCGACCCTGAGGCCTTTGGAGCCAGGTAGTATCGGAAGTGCTCCTGACTGATGTGGCTGACACTTACACACTATAATCACAGTTTTTCAAGCAATGTTCAGCTATCTAACATGAAGCTGTAGTGTGATAATTTATTAGCTAGAT